TCTGTTACAGTAATGTCCAGGATTTGCTTGATCATTTGGCATTGCTTTGATGCTTATGTTTTCTCAGGTTCAAACACATGCGCACACACGCGCGCGCGTGCACACACACACACATGCATGCACACACACACGCTCATGCTGACACAGCTGAGGGAGTGGCCAAGCCGCACTGGTGGGACAGGGAGAGCTTGCGGGACGGGAACGTGGCTCTTCACTGTGCCAGCTGTGTGCACGCGGCAGCCTAGGTCTCTGCACATCAGCCCCCTTCTCTGTCAAGTGGGATCACGCAGCTCCCCACGGGGCCGCTACAGGGTGAAAATGCGCTAAACAAGATTTTGTCAGTATGTCTGCCTGGAATGCGTGCCCACGCCATGGCCATTATCGCCGGCCTAGGACATCACCCACTTCCCCAAGTCACATAAAGGAACATTTTCTTATAATTCAATTGAAAAGCAATTATTTCACTTTTACAAAGATTGTAGAAAATCAGAGTCGGGGGTGGAAGACAGATGTGCTTTGCGGCTTCCACTGGCCCGCTGAGATGTGAAGTCTCGTTTTATTAGCATTTAGGCCCAAATTGCAAGAGATCCTGGAGGCGAGAGAGAGGTGAAGTTTGTTTTATGAAGCGCTTGAAGCTCATCCTCCCAGCACCTCCAAAGAACTGTCCAGAAAAATAGGCAAAAATCCCGAATGAAATAAACAAGACCTTCCTCCAGGGAGTGCTGCACAGCCGAGCAAACAGGTCGGCAGGTCTGGAAACATGGCCTGGGCTGCCCTTGAGGACCCTGAGGGTCAGACCTGGCGCCGGGAGGCACGGCGATGCCCGCGTTCCCTGGCCCCCCGCGAGCCCCCACGGCCTGCGCTGCCACAGGAACATCATCTGACAGAGAAGGCAGCACAGCGCCCTCCACAGAGTCCGTGTCCCCGGAGTCCCAGGAGGAGTGTCACTGGGGGGTAGGGTCTCTGCAGATGCTGTCAGTGGGGTGTGAGGTGACGTCTCCCTGGGCCGTGAAGACCAGCAGAGGACGCAGGACAGCAGGCGGCGGGAGCCACGGCCCTGGGCAGCCAAGGACGCCAGCTCCTGGAGGCTGGGCCAAGGCGCGCGTGGCTCCCCTGGGGCCCGGTGACTCCGCCCTCCAGACTCCGCCCTGCTGCCCCTGAATTTGTTGGCTTAAGCCGCGGGCAGGCCCAGGACGCGAACAGGTATAGCGCCGGAACGGTCCCTGGGGAGGCGGAAGGTGACTTCATGTGTCTTGGTGAAAGCTTTGCGCCCCCACGTCCGTGGCTCCCGTTCCGATTTCGGTGACCTGAGGGTGTGCGTGGAGAGCGGCGCGGGGGCCTGCAGGCGGCCGTGAGCGAGCGTGTTCTGTGCTCGATTGTGCTCGCCAGCCGACGTCCTTGGCGCTGGTGGCTTATTGGTGTTTATATGGAGTGTAAGAAGCAGTCGGCTTCTCCCATGCCACCTCCAAAAGTAGAAATAATAAAATAAGTGTCAGCCAAAACATGACAGCCGTGCGTGCTAAATTTAACTTGGTCTCCCCACACGGCTTTGGAATCAGCATAAAAATTAAAATGTCTACATGTTCACAGATTAACAAAGAACACAGAATCTTGTTTCCTTTGTCTAGAAAAAGTAGCACGCACTTTAGACTTGGGGCGGCCCACGCAGGCGCCTGGCGGCAGGGCAGGGACCGGCCTCTCAGGGCACGCACACGCCCGCCCCACGGATGGAGAATCGGGTCTGCTGCGAGGCCGGCCCCCGCCTGGGCCGTGTCCGGGCACTGAGCTCCCGCGTGCAGCGAGGCGGCGGCTGCTTGGGCGGTGCGTGGGGGCCGCGTGGTCTCCCCCGGGAACATGGTCGCAGCTTGCGTTGTGTTGATGTCTCGCCGACTCAGGAGGCACTCCTCGGTCTTTAAGGCAGGGGAAGCCTCTGCTTGATGCCCCCGAGTGTCTCAGCCCGGCGCCCAGTGCTCTCCTCTTCGCGAGGGGCCCGAGAGCTCTCCGAGGCATGTGGGTTCGGGGCGTGTGTGTGCACCGCCTGTTCTCGCTTAAAAATGAACAATGATGTAAAAAATATATAAATAAAAAAGAAATTTGAGAAATAAAAAAGGGGCTGCACCACAGATACTGTTTTACCACGACGATTGCCCTTGCTTTAGTTTAGCACAAAAATAAAACATGAAAAGAATATTGAAATCTAGTAAGTGATTTGAAACAGCAAAGGTTTTTTTTTTATTAATTATTTTTCTGAGAGATTCCTCTCCAGGTGAAATGTCGCTGACTACCCTGAGCGGGCAGCGCGCATGTGCTGTCTGGGTCCTATGCGAAGTGTAGACGCGCCGTTGCCTGTTTGAGACGAGGAAGATGACACGCCGCTGGCACGTGTGTAGCCACTTTCCCGCACCCACCCCTCACCTTCCCTGCGCTGCCATGTTTGTGTTACCCCCTCAGTGGGGTTTGACCCAAGGGTCAGCTCCAGGACTCGCTGCGCCTAGGGGCGTCCCGATGCTCCTTTCTTCCTGAGCGCTGCATGTGGCATCAATGTCAGTGGGATGATTTAGCTTTTAAGTCATTTGTTTAGGATTTATCGTTTGTGCCATATTCCCTGTGGGTTGGTGGTGGTGGTGGTGAAGAATGTTAAATGCCAAGCGCTTCTTAGGAATGACCTGCTGCATCCGCCTGACGGTGCTGAAGGGCTTCCTGTGACTCCGGCCATCAGCCCTGGGGGCTCACGGGCCCAAGCGCTCACCCCCCACCCCCCCCACCCCCCACCCCCCCCCCGTGCCCGGCGCAGGTCTCCGGAGGGCCCCTCAGCATCATCTGCTGTTGGTTTGAGCCTGAATCTCGGCGCTTTCACAGATTCAGGCCAGACGGCCTCTGGCTTCCTCCTGCATGACCTTTCTGCACTCGCTCCGTGACCTGAGATTCTTTTGCTGCATTAATTGTAACTACCGCCAGGCTTGCCGTTTTGTCAGTAATTCCACTTCCTGTATCTGTTTTCTTTCTTTCTATTTGCACTGATATATTCGTTCCCGGGCACTGCTGTTTGGGTGGCTGCTGTATCCTTAAGGTTGCTGACTCCCAGTTTATCTGATTCTATTGTTTGTTTTTTCATCTCGCTATTGAATTGTGTGTGTGTGTGTGTTAAATTCAAGCCCATATTTTACAGCATGAAACAGTTTTTGAGAAATTTCCTGGAGTTCCTTGGGTTATGTTTTCTTGTAGATTGGATATTTTGTCTACCTCTGGCATGCAGTTTTTCTGCTTTTATTATTGTTACATATTCGCATAGTCGCTATTCAATTTCTTTTCATTTTGCTCATGAGGAGCGGTGTACAGACAATCCATCCTTTCTGTTATACAAAGGGATATTTCTCAATTGTCTTCTCATCAGAGCAGGGGCCTGTGCTCCCTCGTAGCTCCAGTTTGGAGGTTGGTTATGTACTTTGTACCCACCTCTGACAGCCTGGAGGCCTGGGGTTGAGCGAGTGCACCCTTGACTGCAGCACCGGGTGCCTCTCTCTATTTCAGGTGTGTGGAAGCTTGTTCCAGTGTGAAGGGTCAGATGCTGAAGGAGGTGAAATAATTTTGACTCTGACCTTGCACAGTGTCAAGGTCAAGTAGAGCAAAAGAGAGTCCCACACAGGTGGGGGACCCAGCGCAGAGTCAGCACCGTGTGACCTAAGGGAAGGGCCTGGAGCACCAGGCGGGGCAGCAGGCTCGTGTGGCAGGAGGGGGCAGTGGTGTCGCACCTGGGCTGTGCTGGTGACAGACTGTCAAGAGGGAGGTGCAAGGTGTGGGAAGAGGGAGAGATGGACAGATGGAGCTAGACGTGTTCACAGATAGAAGTCCTGCGCACACACACGTGCACACATGAGCACACACGCACAGGGCCTCAGAGCAAGAACAGGGCGTGTGCCCTGCCTGGCACTCAGAGCAGGGCATCTAAGGACCATTCTCCAAAAAAGACCAGCTCTCAGATAAAACCTCCTTCCACGTCCAGAGCAGAGGGAGCACAAGGTGGTTCTGGAACGTTCTCCGTCTGATAGTAAGGAAGAGCTCAGAGAACGAGAGGCACCTGTTAGGGAAAAAGAAGCCAGCTCGATGGTCACTGTGACCAAATCAATGACAATTTGGGCCTGAAAATAAATAGCAAGGGGCAACACTCCTGTAAAAAATGACCGTGGCCCCACACTGAGACTGCCCGGCTTCCGGGAGAGACATGCGATGGAAGCCTTGTGTGCCTGCCAAGGCCCAGGGTGTTTGCGTGGTCTCAGCTGCCGAGTCTGCTACAAAAAAGAAAGAGTAACTTGCGTGCCAAGCGCCTCCGTCACAAGGCACAGTTCACGCCCTTGGCAGTGGGGCAGGCATAGTCCTGCCTACCCGGGAGGGGACGTAGGCCCCTGGCACCCTAGGTCTGATCGCAGGGAAGTGGCAGAAGCTGAGCAGCTCTCTGCAGGGAGGGCTGTGCTGTGGTGTCCATTCCACGGGTCTCCATGCTGCTTTCCATGCCCTGGGGGCCCCGCAGCTAAGGGCCCCTCCAGGGCGCTGTCCACGCTGCTGACACGGTCCAACCGGTTCCCTCATTGGCCTGTCTTCCAAGGCGTCCCGGCCAGGAAGACCAAGGAAACTCGAGCCGCTCCGCACAGGAGACCGAGGAGACAGCATCGTGAGGGAAACCTGGGTGTGGAGCCCTGAGAATGGTGAGGTGGACCCCGAGGGCCATCTGCGCGTCCTCAGTCCACGTTACGCCGCTGCCTGTGCTGTCTTTGCGGCGACATACGAGAAAGCCTGTCAGAGGAAGAAAAGGCCGACTCGTTTGGGCTGAAGGGCAGCGGCTTGAGAACGTCTCTAGATGGTTGTGATTTCCTTGTGCCGCCCTCAGAGCACTGCACGTTTGAGATTGTTCTGAAATGAAAGCCGTCAGGACGGTGCACGGGCTGTCCGTGGGCGGGCTTGCCGCCGGGCAGGGTGGGTGACGGCGCTGTCTCTCTCTGCAGGCGCGGCCGCCTGGAGCAGGCCCACCTTCACCCAGGAGCCCGAGGACGCCGTGTTCCCGCTGGACGCGTCGGAATCCGAGATCATCTTGAGTTGTGCTGCGCACGGCTCCCCTCCGCCCCGTTACAGGTACTGCCCCTCTGCCCTCTGCCCCTCTGCCTTCTGCCCTCCGCCCCTCTGCTTCTCTGCCTTCTGCCCTCTACCCTCTGCCCTCTGCCCCCTGCCCCTCTGCCCTCTGTCCCCTCTGCCCCTCTGCCTGCCCCTCTGCACCCCCCCGCCCTCTCGGCCCCCCTGGCCCCCTCTCTACACGTGAAGCTCCGTCCGTGGCCTTCACACAGCTGGCCCCCCAAGGAAGGTGAGCGTGTGCCAGTGCCCCAGGGGTGCCCACACCCCACATCCCAGCCACCCACCGCCCCAGGCCACCACGACCGGGCCCTGTGTTAGTGACGGGGGTCCCTAGCTCAGTAGGCCTGATCCCGCCCTCGCAGGCCCACGATCCCGCTACAGAGAGGCGCAGGGAGAGAGGGAGGAGGGAGATGGTGCACAGGCCCGGGCCGGGGAGTCGCTGAGAGGCTCCACGCAGGCCCGTTCCGTGTTCCCGCGCTGCGATTAGGGCTTCTGCCTCAGTTGCCTCATTCATAACCACCGTGGAAATGTCCCCTCCCGGGAGCTAGCCAGACACAGCGTTCGGGCGTGCCCCTCACCCAGAAACACTGGCTTGGGGAAGCGCGTCCGCGACGCTACGCCCGCCCCAGCCGTGAGCGGGAATGCTGGGCGAGGAGGAAACGCGTCTTTCCTCGCGTGTTACCTGTGGCTTCGCAGGGGACGGGCAGCGCGTTTCCCCTCCCCAGGCCGCAGCGTGGGCGGAATCGGTCTGGCTGCGGGTGAGATGCAAGTCCTGTGAGACGGCGAGCCGCGCTGTGTAGACGGTGAGATCAGGGTGCTGGCGAGACTGGGGCGGCCGCGGGAATGGACGGCGGGCGGAGGAGCCTGAGTGACTGCCGTGGCTTGTGTTTTAGATCATTTCTGGGCATTGATTTTTAGAAGTGAGGCTGGATCGTTGCACGTGAAGTCGCTTCAGTCTATTTTGGCAAAACCACAGGTTTTGCCCAATTTTATGTTGCATCAAAATACCGTATTTATAAGCACAGTCATTTTGTTCTTCAAGCCATCTTGGCCACGCGCACGATGCCCTGAGTGCACAGAGCTGCAGCCTGCGCCCCCGTCTTCTGCCTTGTCATGCTAAACCCAGCCCTTGTGTTTCTCGTCCACCAGCGCCAGGAGCTGAGCTCTCACCACCTCGCCCCGCGCTCCCTCCTGGGGTGAGGCTGCTCCCTGCACACGGCGGCTCTGTGACACGCTGCCTAAGCGATACGATCTATCTCATTTAATAAGTGGCTCACCTTGGAAAATGGGATTAATGCATTTCTCGGAATCCCCTAATACTTAAAGCTGTAATTGTAGTTTCGAGACTGATTTGATGGATCGTAGGGGCTGGTCAGGCTAGAGAGGAAAAGTGTATATAAAATACGCAACATCTGCTAAGTGCCAGCTCAGCCAGTCACGTACTTACCGGATGTCTCCTGGCGTATGACCGGCGGCTGTGCCGTGGCGGTTTCTGGGCAACTTATGGGTCATGTCTGTGAGGAAGCACACGGATGCAGATGCCACACGTCCCAGCATGTTCAGCGGCTTTTGTCTTTAAGATACATCTCAACCGAGAGGTTCAAAATAGTAGCTTAGCTTTGTATTTCCAACCCCCATCACCCTGTTCCGTTCATCTCCAATATTAAAGTAAAAAATACTCAAAGGCAAGAGCTTGGGAAAGACAGAGAGAGAAAAAAACTATGTTTTAAAGCTTAAATGTCAGACTGGGAGCAGAATCCTTGCTCATCAAGCAGAGATCGGGGCATTTCAGATAATGCACATTAGCAGCGGAATGTGCCATTTTATTTTTAATGGGACCCTTTCTGAGAACTTAAATTTAATTAAAAAAAAACTCCCCATGGCCATAGTCACTTTAGAGTACGTGTATGTGGGGAGGCAGCACAGCATCATGACTGGATTCTGGCAAGTTTGGGGTCTCCAGGGGGAGGCTCTTGTCCCGCATGGCTCTGCCAGGCTGCACGGAGCTGCTGAGTAGCCGTTTCTTCCGGCTTCCTGACCCAGAAAGTGAGGGTGCGTTTGATTTTAAGACTTTTTTTGTTCTTTCTTTCTTTCTTTTAATGATTTATTTATACATACAAGAGCTGGGTTGTAAGCCAGAGGTGGGGGGGCAGTGAGAGGACTCCCCAGAGACAGGGCGGGGAGCAGAACAGGCAGACTGACTGAAACACACTGCTGAGGGGAGCAGCGGGGAGACAGGAGAGGTCTGCCTTGCCATGTGGGTCAGCTCCCTGGACAGGGATTGAACTCGTGCTGCAGAGGCTGCAGACAGCTTCATAGTGCAGTGCTTAACCCCTTGTGCCACCAGGGAGGCCCCAAGACTTTCTTTCTTTTAGTAAATTCTGTTTAGCAAGTGAAATCTCATGGTGAGAATTCACGATAATTAAAGCAGAACTTTGGAGACAGTTTGAAGCAACATGTCTAGAGCCAGCGCCTTTACAGGGGCTCCGGGAGGAGACAGATGCAGCTGTGCTGGGCGAGCAGGGCCGGCAGCCTTCCCAGGAGGGGCCTGTCTTACTTGGGTCGAGATGGGTCGCATAGGAAGTTTTGCAGGGAGAAGAGACATGGCTGCTGGGAGAAAGGAGTGCGCCCACCGGGAGTCTGGGCCCAGGGGGGCAGGGGGCAGACACAGGTGTTATCTGGGAAAAGGAAGACACACACACGCACACACGCACATGCACACACACACACCCCAGTTCTGCACTTTCCCTCAGAAAAGGCTGCCAGTTGTCACAGGGATTCCTGGCACGTTTCTTCTTGCCCTGGAGGCCGGAGGCAGCGCCTTGCTGCGGCTGAGCTGCTGGGTCCTCTGCTCCCTTAGCGTGGGCCTCCCTTCTCTGCGGGGGGACTCAGGACCCTCCTTTCCACACACTTCCTCTCCCATCCTCCTGGCAGCCCCACGAATTGAAACAGGACATATATCGTGGTGCCCATTTGTAACGGAGGATGTGGCTGCTGGAGGCCTCCACGACCTGCCCAGGTACACAGAGCGTGAACTCAGCCGGGTCTTCCCAGAGCCGCAACCTGCCGGGGTCAGCGCTGTGACCGCCAGTCAAGATGCTGGCATCTTGACTCTGGAGTGCTCCCTCAGAGGCCGGGTGGCCCAGAAGTAGGTGCTCTCAGCAGGCCCGCCACCTAGTTCTGAAGTGGGTTTGAACACCTGTGCACACCCGTGCACACCTATGCACACGCATCTTGTACAGCACAGTGTGGCCCAGCCTTTATGTACTGCACACAGGACTCAGCTACTCAGTACTGAGGGGTGTTCCCCGGCCAGAGGTCAAGATTTTAGTTCAAATCCATTGTGTTTCCTGGAATTAACATGCTGTTAATGTACATGCTTGAAGTAATCTTCGATGCTTAAAATACTCTTTTTAAGCATAATCATTCCCAACACACTCGCTCGCTTGCAGCACAGGAACACGCTCCTGGCGTGCAGGCCCGTCAGCTGTGCGTGACAGTCCTTGAATCCATCAATACCGCGTCTCCATTGCCGCAGACGTGTTAATTAGGATGAAGCCCACACCCGGAGTTGAACCCTGATCTATATGCGCAGTTTAATAATCATTGTACCAGAGTGATTAGAATGATTATGGGGATCCTGTGAAAAATTCATTCGCTGCAGCTAAGCCAACAACTTTGAATTTGTGTTGAAAAACAATTACCAAGCTTAATTAGGAGCATGTAATGATGACAGCAGTTATTTCAGTGATTGATTCCAAAATTAAAGCGAGCTGGCAAAGTCAGTGCGGTCTATCCTTTGCTTTGAAAGGGGAAGGGAACGTGGAGGCCAGGATCGGGCCCCAGGAGCAGATGCTGGCAGGCGGTGCTCGAGGGGGCTGTGTCCAGAGCCCGCAGGAGGGTGCCCGTGCGGCTCCTCACGCTGGCACCTGCCAGCCACGACGTCCTGGGAGGAAACTGGTCAGGAAGTGCAGGACGCTAAGTGTGTGTTATTTTGGACTTGCGTCTTTCCACTTGGTTTAGGTGGGAGGTCGAGGTGCAGGAGAATTTGCTGGGCAGCGTCACAGGCCAGTGCCGGCTGAGCCCCTCCCTGACTGCTGGCCGTCTGGGCCTCCGCAGGGCCCACAGGTGCCCAGGGGCTGAGCAGGCATTGACGAGTGGGGAATGCGAGGCAGCAGGTGCGCAGCTGCTGGGCCCCGGACGCTGACCTGGAGAGGGGCCCTCTGCGCAGCCAGGCTGGTCTCTGTCCAGGGCTCCCAAGCCCACTCGCTGTGTCTGCGTTGTCCGTGCGCGGTGCCGCGCCTGACATGCCTGGGTAGTTGGGGGGGCGGGGGTGGGGACGGTCAGCTCAGAGGCTGTTTCTGGGCGTTTGTTCATCTGAAAATGCCCAGATGAGGGTTCGCGGGTCTTGCAAGCCCGTGGAAGAGCGCGGCCCCCGTGTTAGGTAACGCGCGTGCTAAAGTGCTGTTGACGAATGGGGGAGTCCGAGGCTTCCTGTTGCCTAACGCGAAAACCTCTCAGACGGCATTTGTTTTGCTAAAGTATGGTTCTAGCTTGGCATTTCTAAATACCTCGGAAGTATTTTCAGCGTGATTAATTTTCCAAGCAAGACGCTTACAGACACCGTCGCGTTCGGAAGCAGTCACGTTATTATTGTTCTGCATCAGCCTCAAATTGGCGTTGCGGACTCTCCCTGGCTCTCTTTGTTCCACTTGGAACATATTCTTCTTTGCTTTCTGCCTCTAAATCATTTTTGACATCCAATTTTGCAGTGTCTGTTGTGGGCGCTCAGGTATGGTGTATGTTGTTTGAAAAGCTGCTAAAGGAATCGGATGGCTGGGATTATTGACTGAATGTCTAATTCTTATTTTTCCCGTCAAGAGCTCTGTTGCCTCTCCGTATACATTTGGGTGAACCTTTGTAATTTGTAAGGAGAAGACCTTTCAGATAGCCTCGCTGTTCAAATCACGAAACTCAGGAGGAAAATTATTTTTGGAGAAATTGGTAGAATCCTCTCCCCACGTAACCGTGGTTTTTAGAAATGGTTTCCGGGATGACAGCTATGCGTTGTTTAAGACAAACGGGCAAGTCTGCATGTTGTCACTTTATGAGAAAGTGTATAAAATAGATTAAAATTGTGGGCACATATGATATAGGTATGTTTAATTTATAAATCTTATTTTAAATTTAAAATGTGTTGAAAGTAGATAAAAGTATGTTTTTCCCCATGAAGGTGGAAGCAGAATGGCACAGACATCGACTTCAGCACGAGCCAGCACCACAGGCTGGCGGCCGGCGGCCTGGCCATCGGCAGCCCCTACACAGCGGAGGACGCGGGCTTCTACCAGTGTCTGGCCACCAACGCGCTGGGCACCGTCCTGAGTCGGAGGGCGAAGCTCCAGTTCGCACGTGAGTCTGTGTCTGAGAACATGCTGTCCTCGCCCAGCGCTGCCCTTGGTCTGCTCCCCGAGGGGGACGTGAATTTATGGGGGTCGAGAGTTCCCATTCTGGGCATTTTATGAATCCAGGGTCTGGGTTATTGAAGTCTGTTTCAAAACAAGAAGCAAGCACTGGGGTTTCCCTACCAGCCGGTGAATTGTGTCAGAAGCACCTGTGTGAGTCCTGCGGGCTCAGGACCATGTGGAAGCTGCCTGCTCCTGCCTGGGACGGCAGTGGGCGGTGGGCACGCGGGTGTGGTGGGGCTCCCGGAAAGGGGCCGTCCAGTGGGGCACAGGGGGAGACCGCTGCCGAGGCAGACTCACGTGACAGCAGCAGTGTCCGATTGTGCCACATAAATGTCATGCCAGTGACTCCCTTGGGGACATTTGGGGACATCTCGCACCCTTATGGACAGGGTTTCAGGCACTGAAATACTTGACGCCTGTCCCAGGGAGAGTGTGTGAGGAAGGAATGATTCTGCTGAGGGGGTGACGCAGGTGCCTTGCATCTCTCCTGCACCTCTCCGCCCTGCCTCTCGGAGAACATTCTGGGTGCCCCTCCCCACCCCTCAGGGAGGGACAGGATCTGAGAGTTAGCCACCAGGCCACCACTCGTGGAAGGTCCCTGCTGTTGTTACCTGGAAAATGTATTGTTTTGACATTTTATTAATGCAGGCACATCCTCTCCCCGCCATAGACCCATTTCCGTTCAGCGGGCACATGGAGTCATCCTGGGCCTGCTTCCCACCAGGAGCCCGTGTGCAGTGCCTGGCGCCTGGTCACCCTGTCCGACAGTCCCCTGGTGGCCTTCTGGGGGGGCTTGTTGCAGGTTGTGTAGCTGGGCATGTCCTGCAGCTGGGCTGTCCTGCGTGTGGGAGTAGAGGGGCCTTGAAGAAGTGCATAGACACGGGCGTGCACACAGGCGGTGGTTCTCTTGACTCTTCGGGAGTGTATTATTATGTTACTTATTTATCTTCTTATTTCGATGATTCTGCTTTCCAGCTAAGACCACCAGTTGGAAAAATAAAAGCTCACAGAACCTAGGTCACAGCTTCTTTGCAGAAGCTCCAGACACCTGGCCGCCTCCCTCCCCCCTGGCGAGGGCCTCCCCGTGTGCCTGCCTCGCCGCAGCTTCCTGGGAACGTGTTTGCGTTGCTGGGAGGGAAGGTCCTGTCGCGCATTTAGTTGCTGTGGCTTTTGGTTTCTCCGGAGCCAGGAGTGCTGTCCTTTCAGGGAACACCGAGTAGTTTATGCCGGAAACAAACTGGCCAGCTGTCCGTCGCCGCGTGCGGCCGCTGCATCCTTGTTCCCCTTTGTGATCACACGCTTTTCTAAAATTCCTCACGTGATTATTTCTTACCTTTTTTTTTCAGCTTTAAAAATATGTGTAAGTAGAAGCTTCCCTAAATGAAACCAACCGTATTTTGTCCTTTTAGCAAGGAGGAAAGTTTGGCGTGAGGAGGAGTCGCCTTCCGCCGTTTGGGTGAGCAGGGCAGTCCCTGCTCCCGTCCTGTCCATTCCTGCCTCGTCATGCGCACCCCTGCCTGGGCTGCGGGTTGACAGCGGAAGCCCGAAAGCATCTCCCGTTCACCCGGCAAGAGGGCCTCGCGCCGTCAACTCAGCCGCCCTTTGCAGACTCAAAGGAACCTGATTCCGAGAGTGAATTTGATAAACACAAATGAGACCCCCCCCAACACACACACACCCCTGGGCCCTCCAGCCCTGGCCCCCGCAGCGTAGAAGCGGCCGCCTCCGACAGGAGCTGTAGCTGCTGCGGTTTCTCCTCTTCCTCAAGGATATAGGTGGTGAAGGGGGCAGGAGCCATCTCCCTCCTGTGTGCCAGTGAGTCTCTCTGTGTCTGAGAGGACATCACGACTGTCACTGCTTTCTAAAATGTCATCCTTGAGAAGAAGGAGAGGTCTTCTGAAAGAAACCCAAGATTTCACCGAGAGGCACTTTTTTGAAGACTCTCACACAACAACTGCCAATAAGTAGGCATTTGGGGTAAATGTTGCTCGTTTATAGGAACTTTTGGTTCTCTCTACTTAATATTTAATCACAAATACCGTTTCAAGTCTGTCTGTGCCAGTGCTGCGGGAGGAGGCACAGCTCGATGGAGCCCCTGGCTGACCGCTGTCACCACGCAGCCAGAAGGCGCTGCAGGTGGGTTCTGGTGCTGTGCTGGGCTGAGGGTGGAAGGCCGACAGTAGCAGCTCCGGCCTGTGCTCACGCAGCGGGCGGTGAAGCCTTCAGTGCGATCACAAGACGGTCTCGTAGGCACTGACGCAGTTCACAGTGTATAGCAGGCGTCGTCCTACGTTCTCGAGACGCGCTGACCCGGCAGTCCACGCGGAACCAGCAGGCGCCTATGCTCCGCTTCCAGGTGAGCAGTCGGAGACACCGTGAACGAAGCCCTGGCCCCACACCACACAGAGGGTCGGGGCAGTCAGTTCCCCCACTGTACCTCCTCGGGGGGCACCGGAGAGGACAGAGACTGCCCTGGAGGCAGCGTGGGGGCCCTGCAGGCTGGCAGTGGGCACCACTGTTGTGCTGCAGGCCCCAGAGGTGGAAATGGTCAGGAGAAGGCAGAGCCAGAGAGGGGCCGGGTGAGTGCCTGTCCTGGCACACGTGAGGCTGCAGGGCAGCGGGTAGGCGGGCGCTGGAGCCATGAGGAGACGGGGCTGGTTTTCTAGGACAAGAGTGGAAAACCATCTGGAACCCAGCGGACCCACCTGGGAGCCTCCTTCTACCCAGCTGGTCTGTAAACAATGGCGTAAGGAGTGCGCAGAACCCCGTGTGCCCATCACAGCAGCGCCTCTGGGCAGGGCCACAGAGGCCTCATGCATGCCTGCCCGGCCTGCAACGCCGGCTCAGTGTTCCTCTGCATGTGAGAGGGTGTCCACGTGACCCTCCTCTTCTCAGTCAGCATGGGGACCAAGCACTTAGGGTATGTGGGGGTCCCCACAGTCCATAGTTTGGGGTGAGCTGTTAGCAGGAGCCAGCAGGTGTCTGGACATCAGCTGTCAGCAGGTGCAGTCCGGATTTCAGCACTTGCCCAAGAACGGTGGACTGACTTGGGGTGATGTGCAGTGATGCTGATGCGCTCGAGCTTGTTTATAACATGTAGTTTGAAATTACTACACGCTCTCCCTTAGATCTGGCAGCCTGGCCCATCAATAATGCCGCGGATACTGTTAAAGCAGGGCACATCTGTTTAGGGCCCGCAGACTTCAGCGCTCATGCTCGCGAGACGGGGCGCGGAATTCCTGCCCCCCCTCGTAAGCTGGTTCTGGATGGCTCAAGGTTAAAATGCAATGATCATTCATTTTAAAGGGCTATAAACATGTAGACTTTTACAGTCATCGTATTTTTTCCCAGAGGAATGCAGATGATTTTACACCCGCAGCATTCCGCATCTTCACTCTCCAACCGTAAGCTCTTCCGACTGCGCCTTCAGATGGAGACGTGAAGGTGGGCGGCTGGTGACTGGCCAAGGTCACTCAACATGCAACAGACCTGAGGTTCTCAAAGCTGCCTCAAAATAATTTTAAAATATATGTCTGTCTGTAGACAGAGGTACTGAAACCGAATCCACATGAATCAAAAACCTCAGTCACAACTTAATAAAAAGGTTCTCCAGGTAAAGTCTTTGGCTCCTTAGACAAGAATCTCTAAGACATTTGAAGGTGATAGGCTGTTTTTAGTTTGTCTTTTGCCCAGCATGTGTATAAGCAGGAAAAAAAAAATTTTTTTAAAGATCTTACATTGTGAAACAAATGTTCCAAGCTTTGTGGACACTGATGAGTCCAGAATGCATCTAAAATTCTTCAGTATGTAATTGATGAAAACCATGAAATGTGACCCCAAAGACGTGACACAGCGTACTCATGTCTGAAAAGAATGAAGGCCCAGGAGGGTTCATTTAAAGATAACACTTAACACATACTTGGAAATGGAAGCCTCTGGGTCCCTGACGTGTGTGGAGCGGAGAGCCTGGGGTGCTGGCTGGCTGGGCTCTTTGTTTGTCTGAGAAAGTGGGGAAACCAAGTAGGAAAATCCAGGGCATGATTTTCTCAAATAAAAGAAACCTGATGAAATAGTATTGGTTTCTCATTATCGTTTTGGAAATAGCATTACAGCATGTTGCAATGGATTTAATCTGAATGTGCTTTAATATAATAATAGCACAACCGCCAGTTGGTGTCTCATTAGGAGAAAACTTTGCATCTGCTCTAAAAAGTAATTCATGTCCCACAAAATGGCCTCCGAGCAGCCCCGGTTGCATCGCGGCAAGCCACGGTTGTCTCTAAAGTCACCAGGGAATAGATGAGCCAAGGCTTTCCGTGGCTTCCCTCCATCATCACCACTGGGCGTCTGCTTATGTATCTTCTCAGAATGGCATGCTGTAAAAATTCAGGCCTCGCCTTCCCATCTAGGCACTCATTCCGCAAGGTCTAGGCTTTTTGGCTCATTTGAGTAAAATCACGCACTCAGGGTGCATGTGCGGGGCTGGGCGGGGAGGGTGGGGGCAGGACGGAGGTGCCTGTCCCATGGAGACCCGGCATTTCTGATGTGTGGAGCAGGAGGAACCCGAATGCAGTGCCCACTCCTGCTCTTCCATTCTCCCCGATGCCTGCCTCTCAGGAAGCTGTGCACATAGCCCGTGCAGGTTTGCTTGTAAAATTTATAAAATTGACTGGGGATTACAACAAAATGCGTATTTGCACTAAGGAATCAGATGACTTATCTTCCAGTGTTCATATATACCCAGTCACCTGAAGAGCTCTTAGAATCAAGTCTTCAAAAGTAAATACAAATAATAGAGTTTGGGGGCCAACCGCTGACAAGGTTTGAGTTTCAAGGAAGGTGCTAATTTACACACTGTCTTTCCCAGAAGTGGAGTCCAGAAGCCCCCAGGCTCCTGGGAACAGCTCAGGGAGGCCGTCCTCAGCCAGGCCCGGAGGGGGGTCT